ACATAGACAAGCAAATACGTAGTCTTCTTCCCCACCTCCCTGCCCCCACATTTTAACATACAGTACAGCAGTAGAAGTAACATTCACCTGTTTGCACCTTGCTTTTTCATTTAAAACATGTCTTGGCAATTTCCTTATATAGGCATATGGACAGATTTTCCTTTTTGTGTAATAATTTCACTGTATGGCTAGGCCATACTTCACTCAATCACTTATCTTTTAGATGTTTGCAGGGTTGTGCTCTTTCTGCCCATGTAACATTAAACTCAGGTCTGGTGGTGCGTTTTGGGAGTGAGGGTGGGCAGCAGAATGGGACAGACCTCTCATCAAAATGTCTTAACTTGTTTTTACTTGTCTGTATTGGAAAATGTTCTCTAATGTCTCTTGATCCACATTTTTTCTTTTTTGAATACAGAATTTCCTTAACGTGGGTATTAATAGTTGAGAACTATGTATTAGTAACCCAGTTTTCTTGAGTTCCGCTTATGTTAGAGTTTTTAAATAATTTCTCAGTGCCCTTGGCTGGTGTGTGTATTCTCTGTCCTCCTCTGATCTTGCAGTCTGTCTTCTTTTTTCTGCACAGATTAACATAAAATCATTACTCAAACTTGACTCCTGTGAGGTGCTTGGTGTCAGTATAAGCAGGAAGCTTAATTTAATTTGAATTAAGTAGATGTGAATTACAATTTTAAAGTAGATGAATAATAACCATTTTATCAAAAAGTTACTGGAATGGAAATGTGAAGAAAACAGCTAATAACTGATGCTTTAAAATCTTGTCTGTATAACACACTTCATGGCATTCCCATAGGCTTTACTGTCTCGTCCTTGGAGTGTGAAATGTCTCTTGATCCCTTGCTCAGTGAGGAATCTGCTTCTCCCTCTCCCACTGTCCCTCCCCCATGCTCGGGTGTGTGCTCTCTCTCTCTCTCTCAAATAAATAAATAAAATCATATATATGTATATACGATTATATTAAAACATTACATAAACTATGTAAAAATTATGTATATAATGTATATAAACATTATATAAGATTATATAAAAACATTATATAAAATAACATTTATAAAGTATATACTTATACTTGTGTATGTACATATACATATTGTGTATGTACACACAGTGTACATATACATATTGTGTATATATACACAATATACACATATACGTTACGTTTTCATTTTATTTTATATATTTTAAATTATACCACTAAAATTATTGTTTATATAACCATATATCCATATGAAAGCTACTGACTTTGATTGTGTTTCCTGCCAAGCTCTTCTTGTTTGCAGTAATTGTAGTTGGTTGTCTTGAGGGTTCTAGATACACAGTCATACTATATCAATTACTTATGATGCAAAACATAGTGGTTCAAAGCAATACACATTTGTTATTGGTCGTGAGTCTGTGGGTGGCTGAGAGGATCTTCTGACATTGGCTGGGCCCATTCATGAAGTCAGCTGTGGGTTGGATAGGCAGCTCTTTTGATCTTGACCAGGCTTTTCCAGTGTGGGCCTTGCCTGGAGGTAGGCTGATGTAGGATGGCCTTGGATGAGACAACCGGGCTCTCCTCACATGTCTCTTACTTTATACCTTCCATCCACATGGCAAACTAGTCAGGCATGTTCTTAGATTAGCTCAAACATATGCCCATGAGATTGCAGAGGAGCAAGAGAGGAAGGGAAATGTACAAGCACTTTTCTAAGCCTTTGCTTTCCTCACATCTACCAATATGTTAATGACTGAAGAAAAATCATGTGGCCAAGCCCAGATTCAAGGGGTGTGGAAGTGTGCTCAGCCTCTTCATGAGAACTGCAGTGTCAAAGGGCAAGGATCAGGGGAGGTCTAGCATAGGGGCCATTACGACAATCAATGAAACACATGGATCATCTGTACATAATTCTCCCTGTTTCTTTCCAATTTCAGTTTCCCTAATTGCTTTCCCTTGTCGAATTTCATTGGCTAATACTACCAGAACAAAGTTGAACAACCACCCCTTGTGATGTTTTTCAGAGCCAGATTTTAGATTTATTACTTGCATTTTTTCTGTTTTCTAATTTTCTACTTTTCTTTTAATAATTTATTTTTTCTCCTTTTTTTTTTTTTCTAACTTCTTTAGTCAGCTGTGTAGCAGTTACCGTTAATGACCTACCCTGATCTCTCTACCAAACCTATACACTCATCTCCTAGCTGCTCTCAGTGTTGACCGGTGTCAACTCAAGGCTGAACTTCCTTGGAATTGTCCTTGACATATGGGAGTTGCCTTCCCAGGAAATGGCTGAGGTTATGCCCTCTGCCCATGAAGGCAGAAAGCCTATGCTTTCTTCCCTGTCTGAAGGACAGGATAGGACCTCTCCACAGTGCCATTTATACTCCAGAGTGTCCCGCTGAATCAGTCTAAGGCTGGACTTCAGCTGAGCCCACATTTTGCAAGCTCCCCGGCACTCTGTATGAAGGCCTCCTGTCCTCAATGAAGTCCAGAACCCTACTGCACACCCACATTGCCAGTTGCCTGTGGCTTGCTCTTTTTCTCCATTTTTCTTATAGCATCGTTGTATCAATTCTGTGCTAGTATCTTTTTATTACTTATGATTGGATGATTTGAATATAATTGAATTATTTCTGGCCTGGCTTTTCTAAGAAGTTGCAGGGTTGGGGAGCAGGAGAAGCTGAGATAGTGGTCTGGGATTCGTCCCTTTTCACAACATAGAATCTTTTCCCTTCTCTGCTGCCACAGAGATAGACTGATTCTTTCAAACACAGCCTGTCCATGTGACTCTGCAGTTGCCCTAACCCTGAACCTAGCTCAGGGGCCAGCAAGCCTTCTAACCTGCTTTTACCTTCTTACCTGCCTTTCCTGTCCTGCTGCTCCAGATCAGAACTACAAGCTTTACCTCTCCATGTGTACAGCTTACATTTAGAAAGCGAACTTTTACCTGCATTTTTTGAGAGTTGCCACCACTTGGCCCTTGTGCTGTGTGTGGTTCTTCTTGCCACTTCCTCCTGACTAAAGCCTGCGTCAACTCAGACAAGTTTTACTTCTAGGTTAGTATCTAGAGACTTTTCCTGACTTTTAGTTTCATTGACAATGGAATGTTTATTTATTTATTTTAAAAAGATTTATTTATTTATTTATTTATTTGAGAGAGAGGGAGAAGCAGATTTCCTGCTGAGCAGCGAGCCTGACACAGGGCTTGATCCCAAGGACCCTGGGATCATGACCTGAGTCGAAGGCAAATTCTTAATGATTGAGTCACCCAGGCGCCCTAGAATGTTTATTTTCTGTTCTCCTTAGGAAAACGCCGATTTTATGCAGTAATGCTTATACTGAATTCTGCACTAGTTGCTCTGAGATCAGGTCTACTAGATGACTCAAAATAAATAAATAAATAAATAAATAAAAAAAAACAAAAACCGAGATTCTTCCGTTGGGGGGTTTCTGTGTCCGTTCTTTTTTGCAGGTGGGGATGGATTTCTTTTTTTAAATATTGCCGGATGAATGGTGGGTCCCCTTGGATTTTTTTTATTACCTGACAACTGAATGGACCAGAGAAAGCCAAGATGATTGAATTGGTTCTTGTTCTGTCTGGGGCAATTGACCTGCAGGTTATTTAGGAAAAATGTTTAAATATGAGACACTGTGCTGATCCTGAGGGGCTACACGGTTCAAGACTTGGACCCTACACCCATGCAGTTTCTCTTTCTTGTTGGGAATGAACTTTGCATAGGGATCTTTGCACAGTATCTGTGGTTGGCATGCTTTTGGGGACATACCTGAGAACACCGTCTCTAGGATCTGGTTATGAAACTACAGGAAACAAAGAAATTTATGTTCAATCACCATTTAATGGGATGTACTATGGCCAGACCCTTGTGTTGGTGTTGAGACTATAAATATGAATCTAACACACTACTAGCCCTCGAGAAGGAGGCGGGGTGAAGAAGAGTATGAATGGAGGTTAATATTCTTGACCACTTCCTATATATATGCAAGCACTGGGATAAGCATTTGAGGAGACAATCCTCCGAGTCATGTGCAGTTATCATTCCCGTCTTACAGATGAGAGGACGGAGGTACTGGGAGGCCAAGTCACTTGATGCTGGTCACACAATTAGTGACAGAGCCAGGAGTCAAGCCTGAGTGAGGTTTCTTCCAGGCTCAGGCTCTGCTTGCATTTAAGCATTTTAAGTGGCAGAGTGGAAACCCCCCTTCTATGTCAGTTTAAGTTCATTGAGAAGCAGACAGGAAGATGGGACTAGATGAGCAAATGACTTATGCGTGGGGGTGGAGCATGCAAATCTGTGAAGGATGATGGGAGGGAGCTGGAGGAGGTGGGAGAAACTTCCAAATGTGTATAGGCAGGTCTGACTCTGAAATGAGAGAGTAGAAAGGGCACAGTGAGGTTATAAGAAAGCCTCAGTGGGCCATTTTTTGGGGGGGTCTCCTGGCACAAGTTGCCTACTGGACAGTAATGGCCCTAATCTAGAAGCTTGCCCTACTCAATCACCAGCTGGGAGCAGCCCAAGAGCAAAGTCAGTTGGGGTGAGTGCCCCAGTTAAATCAAATGTATGGTACCTGGAGGTTATTGGTGGATTCTCTGGAAGGAAACTCTATGCAGTATTCCTTGTGGCCAGTACAGTCTGTACCTTGTACCACACAGGTCACTCCTTTTCTCTCATACCCCCAAATGCTACTCATCAGTTTCATCTCAGAAACATGAAAATCTTGTTCTTGCAGAGGGGATAATGGAGTTTTGTTTTAAGGTCACCCTGTGAGGAAATCCTTTCTTCTTTCCTTCCATTTTGACCCTGCTTATTGAACACAGGGTCTGTGTTACACAGTAGACCTTCTTTGACACACAGTATCAAATGAGATGTAAAGAGACCTAGCAAAGCTGTCTATTTCTTATCTCATCAGACACCTTGGTCCAAAGGCCTTACTCAGGGTCTTCAAATCAATGTTTTAACATCCATTTTGTATTTGTTCTTCACAGGTATGATTTAAATCTGGATGAAATAAGAGCTTTGACGTTTCAGAGAGTGAAGTTTGTCATGGGTCTACCTGTGTTAAAACGTGCGATTCAGGACCAGGTAAGTTTCATTGTTACTTTGCTGTGATGTGTGTATGAGTGTGAGAGAGAGACAGAGAAAGAAAAAGATTTTATTTCTGTTTTGTTTGCTTTTGTGACTTGTGGAAGCCATTTATTTTGTCCCAGGGAAAATTGCCTTCAGTACGGGGAATGCCTTCTTCAGTGCCTTTTTTTGCCCCACTCTCTGATAACCTAATTGATCTTCTTCCCTTAGCCCATAGGTGTGTTCATGTCTCCCAAGATCACAGGCTAGGGGGTAGGGGAATCAGCAGAAGTAATGATATATATGTTTACAAAACAAATATAATTTGGGGCATAAAATTCAAATATCTGAGAAAGGTAATGAACTGATTTTATAAGCTTTTAAAGCATTTAGATGTGTCCAAAATGTAGGGGTTTTTTTTGTCTAAACACTGCTATTCTAAACTCAGTTAAATTATTTTAGTCAATTTAGCCTCATTAAAAACAAAGTAGGAGGGGCACCTGGGTGGCTCAGTGGATTAAGCCGCTGCCTTCAGTTCAGGTCATGATCTCAGGGTCCTGGGATCGAGTCCCACATCGGGCTCTCTGCTCAGCGGGGAGCCTGCTTCCCTCTCTCTCTTTCTGACTGCCTCTCTGCCTACTTGTGATCTCTCTCTGTCAAATAAATAAATAAAATCTTAAAAAAAAACCCAAAAAACAAAACAAAAAAAAAGCAAAGAAGGAAAGAAAGAGTATGTTATTAGAGAACTCCTTCGTGATATGAACATTAGGAGCTATTTATTTTAGGCAAGTTTAAATCAATTTCCATTTCATTCAGCTTCATGGCTTCCTTAAACTAAACACGTTACATTCAACAAAATGAAACAGAACAGAATTCCTGGTGAGAGCCCTAAGAGAGGGGCTTGAACTGGGGAGAGGCTTCAGCTTGTGGATGGCTGAGAGGTGGAGCCTGGCCCTCTTCCTGCCCACCGCAGTCTGTGGAGCGGGAGTCTGAGGACTGAAGGGGTAGGGGTCTTCCCCATTCAGTGGGCCACTGAAGGCTTAGTTCTCTGTGCAATGTAGAGCAGAGCCAGTGGGGGGCCTGAGGTCCATGTTTGAGAATAGATCCCTACTCTGTCACACCCTGCCTCCCCCCACCTTTTGGTTGGCTGTACTGAGGAGGCAAGGACAGAACTCAGCATATTCTTGTCAAAAGGCAGAGCTCTGGCCCCTCCTGTTGAAGCACTGTGGCCACCTCCAAGATAATAAAAGGCACACTTAGCTGGAGAGGAAGGAAGGAAAACAACCACATCATGCAGGGAAGGGTGCTTGCGAAGCCCAAAGAATCATTTCATACCAAGCAGTTTGACAAAGTGGATTTCAAGCTAGTAAACTATCTCTCAATGGAACATTTAGAGCTGTGAATACAACCAAGAAAGAAGAAAACCCGCAAAAGACTCCAGCCCTCTTTGGTTTCAGACACTTTATGAGTCTGGCCTCCAGTACATCTGTCCTGGGGCTGGTTGGAAGGTGAAATCTTGACACGTGGTCAGTCTTCTGGTCTCTTAATCAGTCCAATATGTCCATGATTTAACTTAGTGTCCATATTGAAGACCCAGATGAGAGTTGATCCTTTAATGAAGTTTACTAATTGCTGCTTATCACACGGAGTCTGAAGGATTAGCCTGTGTAATCTTGCTCCTGATGAAGCTGTTGGTCCCTGGATCCCATTAGCTTCCCATTTTTGTGGCTCCCTTTGTGGTCTTAGGCAGCTCGGACGACCCCGTCCTGGATGATTGAGTATAGTCCCTGTAAGCAGCCGCAGGACCAGCCCTAGACAATCCCTCCAGTTCATCTCTGTGAGTTACTTCAGCCTTTTTGGGCCTTCTCTCTGTGTGAGCTCACAAAAGCCAATGAACCTGAAGGAAATTAAACAAGTTGGTCATCAGGGCAGCCGGCTCATCTCTTCGGGTGGAGGTCATGAAACTCGGCAGCCCATCTGTGTTTGAAGGCTCTCAAATTCCACTCTGTAAATAGCTGGAGGAGCTGTCCACATCCAGTAATTCTAGAAGAAGTGTTACATGATTCATTCTGCCTCTTAATAAAAATATTGAGTCATGGCCGTACTGCCTGTTCAGAGTGCGTTCCAGGTCTTTCCATCCTTCCCTGGCCCCCATTTCGTGTTGCTGTTAAGTTTTGTGGATGATCCGATGAACTCCAAGGCAGGAGGCCGAGTGTAATGTGTAATGATGATGTTCTCGAGGACAAATGAAGAGTGAGCCTCATTCGTTCCAGGTCTCCATGGACAGTCCACAGGCCAAGAATAAGCCATTAAAATATTTCCACTCTGCATTTTCCCCTCTGCCATCTGCAATAGATTTGAGATGTTCTAATAATTTCAAAAGGAAAAAACAATATCTGAGTCTGACTACAGAGTATACACACACGTGTGTGCTTGCACACACATTGAACAACATCATTGTACCTCCCAGACATTTCCTGCACCTGTTTCTAGCGATATCACATTCGTGCCCTTTAGCCAACCGTCCTCTCCTTTCCCAGCGGAAATCCTGGATGGTGGAAGTCACGGACTCCCTGCATTTCCAGAGATGGGGAGATAGAGGACCAGGTGGGAGATCGTCCTCTGTGGCGGTGTTGAGACTGAAGCCGACAGAGGCTGACCCCCCTGGACCCAAATCACCATAACCAATAATAGCAGCTCAGACTCACAGAGTACATATCGTATGCCTGTCACAGCACTAAGAAGTTTAGATGCATGATCTCATTTAATATCCACAACATCCAGAATGGTATTCCGATTTTACAGATGGGTAAATTGAAGACCAACAATTGGCCCGAGGCTATACAGCTAGTAAGTTGTGTATATAACTAGTGGAACACATATTTAAACCCAGCTGGTCCTGCTTTCTGAGTCCACTTCCATTTGGTGGTTCTTGCCCCTGGCTACACACTGGAGTTGCCTGGAGAACTTTCCAAACTCCTGCTGTCCGAGCTTTGGCTCAGGCCAATGAAATCAGCATTTAAATTTCCCAGGTGATCCCGTGTGTTCCTGTCCTGGCCTGACCGTCTACCCCAGATTGCGCCCATTCAGCATTGGGTCTCTGGCAATCATGGTTCAGGGCTGACTTGTAGGAATGCTCCATCCCAACATTTCTTTTCCCCAGGAGGAAGACAGTTGGGATCAGGCTGTTCCTGGCCAACAGGAGTAAGGAGTGGGGGTAGATATTTGAATAATGAAGCACCCATTCTATGACCCCCCACCCCCCATCATGTTCTCTCTCACTCTGAAGTTTGATGGTCCTCATCCCCATGATCCACAGTGGTGTTGGGCATGGCAGCATTATTATCTAAACTAGTGGTTCTCAAAGTATGGTCTGAGGACCCCTGGAGGTACCCAAGATCCATTCAGGCACTACCTGAAAAGTAGGTGTCCAACTTTGTGTGCATGACACCAGATTTTCACTATAAACTTCAACCAAAACAGCCTATGGCAACATATGGAGTGCAGAAGCAGTTGTGAGAGTCTAGCCGTCTTTCATTAAGCCAGATGCTACAAATAATTTGTAAAAATGTAAAACAATGTCATTCTTCTCACTGATTGATTTTTGGTTTGGAAATTATGGTTATATTTCATAAGAATTATGTTATTTATATGTAATGGATATAGTATTATTATTTTTAATGTGAAACTTTTAAAATTCTCAGTTTTAATTACGGGGTGGTAAATTATGGGCATAGCCTGCATAAACAAAACTCTTTCGAATCTTCGATAATTCTGAAGAATGTAAAGGGGTCCAGAGACCATAAAATTTGAGAACCACTGATCTGAATCATCCACTGTTTTCTCAGGAAGTCCATTCTCAGATCAGCTTGAAGGGGAACTGGCAGGAGCCTTATATTTATTATACTATGGCTTTATGTGGCTTTCCATTTATGTTATATTTATTATACTATAATTATTATTTCAATCAGAATTTTAGTCTCAGTTTGGGATGGTTTTTGTTTTTGTATTTAAAGAAATACCAAGTGGGTAGTCTTATCTAAAATGGAATAAGACTCTGAGGTCAACTCACCTTAGAAGGTATTTGGGAGGGGCGCCTGGGTGGCTCAGTCAGTTAAGCTTCTGCCTTTGGCCCAGGTCATGATCCCAGGGTCCTGGGATCGAGTCCTGTATCAGGCTCCCTGCTCAGTGGGAAGTCTGCTTCTCCCCCTCCCTGTGCCTGCTGCTCCCGCTGCTTGTGCTCTCTTTTTTTCTGATAAATAAATAAATAAGAAGGCATTTGGGAATGGGGAGAATGGTTGTATTCCTAATTAGACTCTAAAAAAAAAGGAACAGCCTTTCCCGGGAAATTACATGGAAGCCACAGGTGTGTTGTGCAGAATGAGCTCAGTAGAGAATGTGCCAAGAAGGTGAGGATGTCTCCTCTGCCACTAGCCCCGTTTTACTCCAGTTCATCTCACCCAGGCCCGCTCTGCTGCCCACACAAACCAGTGCCAGCCCTGATTGGTCCTGCAGACCATGACCATAACCACAACCATAACCTCCCCTGCCCCATCCCAGTACTGGTTCCCAACCTACTTTGAGCTCTTGGCTGTAACACCCTAGCCTTGGCTCTGCCCTTGGCCCTCTGGCTTCTGTTTGTACTGGAACCCAGGCTTTTCCTAGCGGGCTGTGACAAGCTACCCCTGGCTCTCAGTCTTATATGCTGCCTTTGGCAGGAGTCCCTGTCCCAGCTCCAGCTCTACAGACTTGGACCCTGGCCACTTGGCCAGCACTCTGGCCAGGCCAGCTCTGGCCACAAGGGATGCCGTGGAGGATTGGAGCAGATGACAGGACAGAGTGGCCTGTTTACAGAAGTTCCTCTGTGTAGATTGGCAACTGAACTGGTTTATCATCTATGATGGCCGCAGGAATTACTTGAAAGAGCATGCCAGGGAGTGAGTTGGGATCCACGCAGGGATGGACTCTGGGGTACCTGGAATTCTGGTGTTCTTCATTTACTGCACTGTAAACGATTT